CAGACTGTAATTACTGTAGATGTATTTACATACAGACTGTAATTACTAGTCGTATTCACATGCAGACTGTAATTACTAGTCGTATTCACATGCAGACTGTAATTACTGTAGTTGTATTCACATACAGACTCTAATTACTAGTTGTATTCACATGCAGACTGTAATTACTAGTCGTATTCACAATCAAACTGTAATTACTAGTCGTATTTACATGCAGACTGTAATTACTCGTCGTATTCACATGCAGACTGTAATTACTAGTCGTATTCACAATCAGACTGTAATTACTAGTCGTAGTTACATGTAGACTGTAATTACTAGTCGTATTCACATGCAGACTGTAATTACTGTTGTTGTATTTACATGCAGACTGTAATTACTAGGCGTATGCACATGCAGACTGTAATTACTAGTCCTATTCACATGTAGACTAATTACTACAGATGTATTCACATGCAGACTGTAATTTCTAGTCGTATTCACATATAGACTGTAATTACTAGTCGTATTCACATGCAAACTGTAATTACTAGTCGTATTCACATGCCGACTGTAATTAATGTAGTTGTATTTACACGCAGACTGTAATTACTAGTCGTATTCACATGCAGACTGTAATTACTAGTCCTACTCACATGTAGACTAATTACTACAGATGTATTCACATGCAGACTGTAATTACTAGTTGTATTCACATGCCGACTGTAATTACTGTAGTTGTATTTACATGCAGACTGTAATTACTAGTCGTATTCACATGCAAACTGTATTTACTGTAGTTGTATTTACATGCAGACTGTAATTACTAGTCGTATTCACATGCAGACTGTAATTACTGTAGTTGTATTTGCATGCAGACTGTAATTACTAGTCACATTCACATACAGACATATTACTACAGATGTATTCATATGCAGACTGTAATTACTAGTCCTACTCACATGCAGACGAATTACTACAGATGTATTCACATGAAGACTGTAATTATTATTCGTATTCACATGCAGACTAATTACTACAGATGTATTCACATGCAGACTGTAATTACTAGTCGTATTCACATGCAGACGAATTATTACAGATGTATTCACATGCAGACTGTAATTACGGCAGTTGTATTTACATGCAAACTTTTAACATCACTGGCTACTTTTAGAACTTAGACATTGAACTTTGTATGTCCGTCATTGCATCTATATGTATGGAGCAGTATCTTACACACGATTGGACTAATCTGGTTCAAACTTCACACATACGTCACACATTTGTTTTATGGTCAGATTTAAGATAGCCGAATGCCAGCTATTTTAAGGCCAAGATACATCAAAATCACATTTTCCACTTCGAAACCTGATTTTAGTTATGTTTAAACGATTTGATTTAAACATAGTAAACACATTGGGCATCATTTACCATCATGCATGCAATTTCATTTTTTGGATTGACTTCAAATGGCCGACTGATGGCCATTTTGCTTTAAAGAGTGTAGTCTCAAATCCATATATCGGATTGGACGAGATCATTTAAAATAAGTCTTGGAACAATATAAACGGAAAAGAGTACTGTATTTTACTGTCTCTCAGTTACAGGAGTTTTCTTGCGCACCATATCAGGCTGGAGAGACACATCATAACGTTTTGACCACCCTGGAAAAGTCACTTAAGTGTTACTGTCTGCGTGCTGGATTTGTCGTACTTTGGCGACTGCCCGTCGATTCGCTCCATCAACTGCCTCAATGATGTCTCCCCGTTCATATGTGAAAGAGACCATACTGATACAATTACGGGAACAATTACAAATCATGTATGTTAAAATATGGCGATAAAGACAACTCCACGGAGCTCTAAACTAATTAACATTTTCAACAGTATATGTTTATTGTCATAATTATAGAGTATATAAAGAACCCATCGTGAAAAAACAAAAAAATAGTTCCACGCGTAAGAAAGTATGTATGAGTACTTCGTCTCATGCATTGCTTTCTAATCTAGCTTATCTAACTGTTTACGACCCATATTCAAAAAAGTAAACAAACTCCACATGACGTCGACATTTTATCGCACCCGAGTAACTGCCTCCGCAACTCGCGTTTTTTGTGGCTAGGTTATTAGCGTGTTGTTCCCGTAATGAGCTTCGAGCTCGAATACTGCCTTTGAGATGTATTATTTACACAACATTGGACTGTGTTACATCTTCGATATCCCATAAAAGTCATATTTATGAGGACAAATGCTCATAAAATTCCTAGAAAAAGTCAGTCAGTCAAGTCAGACTCGAAAACAGCACGTTTTGTGTATATACCATCCTAAAATGAAGTCAAATTTATTTATGGCACATACCCACATGGTACGGAGCTGGACGAGCAGAGTGTGCGATCTACATATTCTCTAAGTTCAGGTGGATATATATCTTTGGAATATAATTTTAGATAATGAGCTATATATCTAGACATATGTAACATGTATACACACCTGTTTCTTATTGATTGGATTATGTTCTATGGTGCTAATTTTTTATTTGTGGTATAAGTTTGTCGATTGTTTGTGTGTTATTGGACTTATATGACTGCATGTTATAATATCGTTTGGGTATGCTGTTATTTATATATTGCTACAAATTCATAATAATCTCAAAGAGCTGAAGTCGTTGTGTAGTGCTTTTGAGTGTTGTGTCAATAATCTGTTTCACACGCATTGTATATGTAATACATTGCGTATATCGAACTGAGCGCGTTGTACATGTCACTCCAGGCCCGTAGTTTGGAGGGGGGGTCGGGGGGTTTGGTCGAACCCCCTAAATTTTGGAAGTGAGTAGATTTATGATCGTAGATTAGAACATAATAAGACAAACAGTATTAATTAAAATAATTATCATTGTTTAAATCACTTGACTCCGTGAGGTAACTATCAGAGTAATATAATGAGTAATGCATAGTAATGAGCATTTAGGTGGCAACGAGCTTTAAATGTCAGTCTTGAAGTTATGCTGTCTCAGCTCAACAGCAGCCTACCAAAACAGGTTGTTATAAATAGGCAAGCTTTTATCCCGTTTTTTCGGGATGGTGTAATGAAGATCGCGTTTAAGCACCATGTTAAAACAACATTGAAACAATAATGTAATGGTAGTCACTCTCTGAATGATGTGGTGGTCCTGAATAGGGCAGTTTGTCTTGTGCTAATGTTCGCTCAGTTAGTAAAGTGTGGGGATCGAACGAGATTGACACCACCACACCACACTGTACTTTCCTAGTTTGGTTCATTAGTTTTGTATTCTTTAAGTTAATGATGGCATATATACTGTTTTGTCCCAAGTGTATCAGCCAAATGTAGTCAACTTATTGTATTAGTATGTGTAGCCTGTGTTATTGGTCAACAGCTACGGGTTGAACATATCATTAAACACATGCCGAAGATTTATCATCACAAGTAGTATAGGTCGAAGAGCTTCTTGCAGCCAACAATTTACCCCACAGTGTTGCTTCAGCACTGAAACTATGCGATGAATCATAAATTGCAAACATATTTTTTACATGTTTTTTTTTTTTTTGATGTCTTAGAAAATGTACTATATTTTATTGGGTTCATAAAAGGAGTTGTAGTTATTGAAGTCTATTGAGACCGCTGCTAAACTGCCACTGTATGCATATTATTTCACCCCTCTCTAAAAACAGATTTACAGTGAACCAAATATATTTACATACTGTAAGAAACTTTGTAGTGTGCCATTGGTTAGTGCATTTAATTTGTTTGATGCAATCATTGTGCCAACTGATTCTTATGGTGGCGATATGGGGGTACGTATATTCGGAAATCGAAAAGGTATAGATAACATTTTGCAGATATCTACCCGGTACTTAGCATTAATAGTTGTACAAACAATGTAGCGATGTTAGACAATGTGAAAGGCTGCCATTGTGCTGTGGTTATTTCAAGCGTTGTATCTAATATTGGTTAAAATTACTGAAACCCCAAAACATGTTATATCATGCTTAAACGATTAGACAAGACCAGCAGACTTGCTTGGGAAACCCACATAAAAATCTCCTGTTCAAATATGGTTTCGGCATTGTCTGTTTTGAAAAACAAGTTGGAGATACTGCAAATTTCTTAGGGATATTTACTCAAAGAATAAACAAATAGTGGCATGCCTCAATTTCACAATCATCCAGGCTGTGTACTTTTGGAAAAATAAAAGTAGTATTATAACCTGGGAGATTCATTGGCAAGCAATTATATACTGACGAGTTTTCGCTGTTTTGGCCATAAACATAATGTTGAATTAGGCAGACACACAGAAATACAGTTAGACCAATAATTTTTTAGTTTTTGCAGCGATACGTTCGAATTTAGCAAGTTAGAAAATGAAATTCACTTTGTATTTATATGTCCATTTTATAATGATCCAATGGCTGATCTTTTGTCAATAACCCTATGCAATTATGCAAATACTGACAATCTGGGCTTACTTCGTCGCTACGCAAACTGCCACACCATATATCAAATAGCTCTATATCTTTTAAAAGTTTTCAAGCGACGAGATGAATATGAATTCAGCTTAACTTAGTACCATATGTTTACATGGATGTTGTATTGTGTTTAAAACGTGCTACGCACTTTTCTACCCATTACATTTTATACGATAGGCTGAGGTAATAAAATTACATAATACAAAATTGACTAATACTAAAATGCATAATTGTAGACAGATTTCGACATGAAATCGTGTCACTTTTATGTGCGTAACTCGTAAGTAGCCTTCTACCTTAAAATACTTACACAATAATGCTAAGATAAGTATAGTCTTGTCTTTTTTGTGTACAACATTTTGCCGTAGTGGATCTAGGGTGTGGGTGTGTTTGTCTGTGGGTGAGGAATGGCTCATGACCCCTTCTCTAAAATGGTAAAATAGTTCAAAGATATTATGTGAAATATTTTACCAACGTAACACAAAGTAAACCAAATGAATTTAAAACCGATAATATAAAAATGTCTGTAACAGAGCTCGCTCCAAAACACTTTTTGAATATTATAAAATTTACACATTTCACATCAAATATATAATTGTTGTTTTCGAACCTCCTATTCAAAAGTGCTGGCTACGGGCCTGCACTCTGTGACGTTTTGTGATGAAGTATGCATAGAACCATTAAGTTGAAAAAGCAATGTATTATTTCAGACTGCTGTCATAGAAGGAACATACCTTGCCGTGAAATACATGGGAACACAAAATGGTGGAAAAGGAGGTGTTGTAGTCAATAGTGCGTCAATACTTGGTGAGATGTAACAATATGTTTCAAAATCGTACAGATACATAAAGTGTAGTACAATACTGTTATGCATCTTATATACTCTAATTTGAGTTAACATATAGTTGATTAAATTACACGGGTTTTTAAATTGTTTTGCTTTTTGCAGGTTTAATTCCACACAATTTATCCGCCGTATATGCAGCAAGCAAGCATGGAATTGTTGGATTCACACGAAGTGTGGCGGTGAGTTTGAAAATTATTAAATCTTATGAATTGGCCACTAATAAATTTTCTGTTTTTTTTTCATTCTCAGAAATAGCTTTCCATTTGTATTTTGTATATGTATTTATACAAGTCTGTGGTGATTGTGGTATGACATGCATGTTACATGTAATCAGACAACGCTGGAAAAAGCAAATGTTAACATTATCGCCTCTGTAAGAGTTGTCTTCCGCCGTCTCCTACATTGACAGATTAACACATATTTATACTTTGCAGTTTGAGCCAGACTTGGTAAGCAATGGAGTTCGTGTTGTTGCTATATGTCCGACTGTTGTTGACACAACACTGATTCCCAGTGCCCTGGAGAAAGGGGCGAAATACACAAAGGAAATAAAACAAGGTTTAGCAGGCTTGCCAGTGCTAAAGTAAGTAATGCGGATATTAGTATATTTGCCGGGAAATAATCACCGAGCACAGCTACCAAATACCCAAGCGTACCGTTTATAACCTAATTATAATATGACAACGTTGAATACTTAATGGAAAAACGGAATCTTTCTGAAACGAAGTGTGGGGAGGGATGAAATTACTCCGAGACACGTTCGAACAGGCATGTAATTCAGGCATGTATACACATGAATTGACATTATAAATATCGCGGATTAATACATTAACACATGTTAAGGTGGAGATGCAGGTTCGTGGGCACTTGGAAATAAAAATTTTGTTTTTGCTTTTTATTATCCGAACAGTCTTGGCTATAGACTGTTGAAATTTTGTAGAATTGTGAATAGTGGAACATACCCAAAACATAAATAATACAAAAGTGACAAGATCTCCATAATATACACTATATTTAACCTATAACAAAACGATAATACATTTAAATTTGGAACTGTTTCAGTCATTTTAATTATGAGCATTAGCAAACTTCTTACTGAGTGAATTGTTATGCAAATTAGCAATTATCTCAGCTTCTTTTTGGTGCACATCCCAGAACTTTAAAAAAATAGCTCCCAGACGCTTTGACCTTTTGTTTTGAGATTTTCACAAATGATTGACAATGTGTTTATCTTCAAAACGTCGTCTGGGCATTGTTTTTGGTTGAACAGTGTTACAACAATCGTACAGACAACTAGCCTGGGTGTTAATGTATGCATAAACTTGAAGTAGTGAAATTTTAGCTGCTGCCCTGCAAAATTGACAACTGGTAGACAGTTTTCAAGACGGCACTTTCTTCATAGTAAACAGATGTACCCATAAATCACTTTAGACCAAAAACGCACATTTTTGTGCATATTACAAAAAGTGTCCATAAAAAAAATACCAATACAAATTCATACAATAAGCTTTCCGAAAATATATAGTTTTGTGGACAAGGGAGGTCATCATGGTTTCCTAATTAACTAATTAAAATACCTGTCGGGTAAACTGCATAATTACCTTAAGAGTGGTAAATTTGAACATGGCGGTTTGAAATTTTTCAAGTTGTCGTTTTCGAGGATTTTAGTTTTGTTTTGGAGAAATATAATTGCTAGTATACACATATACACAGCCTCAGAAATTGCAGTTTTTGAACAGGTTTTCTGTGGCGACTGAGCTTGAGCATACTGTTTCACTAGTGGAGAAGTTTCTCTGACACTGTACTTGAGCCATGCCCGATGTTAACGGCCGAACGACGCTGGAACTGGGGACCATCGGAAGGTCATTGTTACCACTTTCATCGACGGTAGGGACACTAACTTTTGACATTAAAATGTCAATACACCGACATTTTTGTTCACTATAACTGTTGCGGCAGTAATTACTGATACTCTCTTCATCCCGACGGCCACTTAAATTCATGATTAACCGTGTTGGTATTCCAACGTCGTTCAATGATTTTATAGTGGCTGCTTTCACACAGTGGTGAGTTGATATTTTTTTCATCATTTCCCCCAAAGTATTGTGACCCAAAGGAGCGTTTGTATACCAAGTTACCTGTAAAGTTACTAATATGCAGCTGGAAAAAAGCATTATTGCTTGTATAATATAACAGGACAAAGTGGGAAGTCTGTTTTGTACAAGTCATCCTTCAAATCCCCGGGGTGTTTTTTGGTTGCTTTCAAATAGGCCAAAGTGATATAATCCCGTCCCCTGTCATCTTTCTTTAAAACAAAACTCAAAAAGTTTGTGTAAATCCCGGAGACCCCCCGTCCCCTTCGGCAAAAGAAAAACTCTACATAAAACCACACCAAATGTAAAAGGGACACCGGGTCACGGTCGGACAGTGTCTCGCTGGTAAACATGTCATGTCTCCCGCACTGATAACCCTTTTTTTGTTGGATTTTATCTTACATCCTCCCGCTTCAAACTTTTTACTTTCTCTATAAATACATTATTGACAGTTTGGAATTACCGATCTTTGATAATGTTAATGGGGCGATTGAATGGAACATTGGTTATGTGGCGATGGATTGCTGCTCGAATTCCAGCGTAGCTTCTTATGCTGTATTCTTTCCCGTCTCTAGCCCTGACGTTGGCATAAAAATTCTTTAATATTTTTGCCAGCTCTTGCACTTCCACCATTTTGAAGGCTGGGTCGATTTTCCGTTCAGAACACCACACTTTACAAAATAATATATAATTTTAGTACGGAAATTGGGTCATCATGGGGTCAAACGTTCAACGGATTCTTTGCAGACAACGAAAATTGTGGCGTTCACCGGTACAAACTATAGTTACGATATTTTTAATTTTGACTTTTATCACACTTACATTTGAGTAATTTCACACCCTATTTAGTGGAGGCGTTAGTACTCACTTCATTTTTCTTTGCTGCCAAGTTTTCGACTATTTCCTCAGAAAATTATGTGAATCTTTGCCCTTCGGCAGACACCGGCATCTGTTGTTCTGGCTCGTTATTACCGCCGGCGCTCTGTTGCTCCCATTTAACAGTAGCTTGAAGAAATTCTTCGTCAGTAGCGTCAAATTCATCCAGCTGGTCCCATTAGAAATTTAGATCAAAATTAATTTGAGGCTCGTCGTCTGACATAATTACAATGTTCTGAAAATGCCGCTAGTGACTTGCAGACGACAATATTTATCATATTTCAATACAGTTTATGTTACCTTGCCCGTACCATCAAAGATGGAAGGGAAAGGTATATTAAGGGAAAATTTTTGTCCGGCGTTGTCGTCGTCGTCGTCGTCGTCGTTGTCGTCGTCGTTAATAATTGTTATTGTGTGCATGATAACTTTACTAATTCTATTCCAAACTTCATCAAACTTGGTCACCTTGTTCATCAGTATAAAGTCTTCCCTGAGTTTGAACAACAGATTTCCTGTATGAAAATATCATGCAAAAAATGAGAAAAACTGATAAAATATTTTGACTGTTTCTACTTGACTGATCACTGGTGATACACATCAAAGGTCACTGATCTCAGTGGAAATATGCATTGTTGTATGTGTTCAATGAAGCAAATGATTTATCTTGTAACAATATCCTTGGTAATGTATCTCAAATCCCTTACTGGGTTTCAAAACCAACTCATGGAGAGATTGCACAGTCTGATACACATTTGCAAACCTACCAATAAATCTTTACAGAAACAAGATGTCAGAAAATCAATATAAGCACTCCTATGAACTGGGTGCAAACTTTGATCAATCTGAAGCTAATAGAAAATCTGTTTAGTTCAAAGTTATCAAATCAAAAACAATACATAAAAAATACATAAAAAGCAAAACATTTCATCCACATTTTAAAAAGAAAATTGTTCTAAAATATATGTATTCTGTATTTGACAAACAGTTGTTTCGACAAATGAAAACTCAGAGGAATATGTTTCAGCTATTAGAACAGAATGATAG